CAATTGCCCTTGGTCACCCAAAAATCTCAATTCCGGGTGGTGAAACGGCCAACAACACGCCCGGGGTTGCTCAGAGCCGGCCAAAGCCGAATGATGAGGCATGTGAACTGGAAAGCCCTACTGGCTCATTTTTGAGGGGTGTCGCTTTGGCCGTTTCGCAATACTAGTATTCGTCAATTTCTGATGAGGTTTAGGATTCGTAACGGTGATTCCCGACCGGACAAGCGGAAAATGAGGCCGCGACAAGCGGGAATCACCGTTTGCACGTTTTCGCGGCCTCAAAACGCCCAAACAGTGATCCCGGCCGGGGTTGGGTTCAAAGATGGACAGGCGGAAAATGAGGCCCGAGTGGTAAGGTTCAGGGATGGACAGTTTCACAGCCCGAACTTTTTCGAGCGAAAGTTCAAAGGCAAGGGAATCAATTTTTTGGACCTCTTCGAGACCCTAATGCTTGAAACGGCTTTGGGCTATCTCTTCCATAAGGGCTTACAAAAACGCGATTTCGGACTTGCTTGGCCAACGATATAGACTCTCACAAACACAGGGATTTCAAACTTGCTTGGCCCAGGCACAGACATTTAGAGGTTGTGGCTGGCGCGGGATGGGGATGAAATATTCCTGTTGAGGCTTCAGGCTTTAATTCATTCCTAATGTAAGGCGTCGAGGCCTTGCGTTTTGGAGTTTCCAACTCGCTCGGCACTTCAAGCTTCTCGCGTGCCGGAACCTTGCAATGGAACAGGCGGAGTGGAACAGCTAAACTATCGACAGGAGTTGGTCCACTCTAGGGACAGGACGCTGCGGCTGAGCTCCATGGCTGGGCTCTGAAAAGGGCTCCGTCGGGCACTGTTTGTTTGCTGCAGGGTCTTATGGTCGCAAGATGCTGAATGATCTCATTTGCTGAATTGCTGGCTGGCATCAAAACTTCGGGCTCTTGCCCTGGGCCAAAACGGCCCTGGGGAACGGAACAGGTTCATGCATATGGTGCATTAAAAGTAAATAGAATACATGTTCCGGACCAAGCTTTCCGTTATTATGACATGTCTACTGCTTATCCGGAGATAGTATGCAAGCTTTCCGTAATTATTGAATGTGGATCCGTCATTAGTACCGGAGCTTCTGCTATTAGTACATACTCTTGAATTAGTGAAAGCTCTATTTATTCTATTTTGAGCGGAAAATAGTAAAAACAAATGAAATCACTTTCTGTTTGATTCGCGATTTTGAAGGGATAAATAATGGAAACAACCAATGGAAAATACTGAAACATTAGTGAAATTCTTATTTTTCGCTATATTGAGCGGAAAATAGTAAAAAAATAGTGAAGAAAATAGTGGAACCATTATTTTTTCACTAGTTCCCCTTCAAAATAGTGGAAAATAAATTAGTGAGAGGAAATAGTGAAAAAATAGTGGTGCTCTTAGTGTTTTCAAAATTTCGAAACACCTCACTATTTTTCCGAAATATAGTGAGAGAAACAGTAACGACAAACAATGATAAAGATTAGTGAGAATAATGAACAATAATAGTAAACTAATGAATGAAAATTGTAGAAAAAGCAACAATTGATGTTCATAGTTGTTTCTCCTTAGTTTCTTACTTGACTTGTCACTAGGTTGCCTGTTTTCCACAAGGTTAGTGACAAAAAACAGTGGCAGAGATAGTGGAAACCTCTGAAAACAAGGGGACTACAATCAAAGTAGGAAAACATGAAAGAATAGTGAACACATCGCGGCATTTACTCTGTGACGAGAATCATAGTGACAGTTACTCCTTCTTGACAAGAAAGCATTACCAGCTTGCAAAAAAGAGTATCTCACTGCCCCAACCCTAACAACTGTGTAACCTGTCGTTAACTTCTCACCAGCTGCTCAGTGATTTCTCACTCCAAATATTCACATTGTTAACTAATTTACCACAGCTGCGAACACAGACACCATCCGGTTCACCAGTTTAATCACTAAATGATCACAGCCTCGAGCAAAGACACGGTCCGGTTCACTAACTCGATCACAGGCTCAATCACCAAATAATCACTAATTGATCACAGGTTCAAGCCTTCACTAACTCGATCACAAGCTCAATCACTAAACAATCACTAGTTTAATTCGTCAACACCACCTCAACGGTGGCCCGACCTCCCAACGACAATACTACCACTCCTCACCTTTCTCACCCTCCTTCTCCTCCTCCTCGTCCTCCTCCTGCTGCTGCTGCCGCTACTGCTTCTGCTTATGCTTCTGCTAGTTACGAATTGTTGCTGCTGCCACCGCCGCTGTTGTTGATTCTGCTGGTACTGCTACGCTACACTTCTTCTACTTAACTTTGACGGCATCGCTGAGGTGCCTGCGATGGCGACGTCGACAAAATGCGTCGACCTCTGAGAACTCACCGCCATCACCCGCGACCCCACGGCGTGAAAAAAATTAAAACACACAGCATGTGCAGGCTTTGCGGTGTCCTGGTAGAAATCCTCCCAGTTGATGGCTTTGTCAGGTTCGGTGCGCATGCGCGGCGCTACGACAGGGCTTAGCATCCGGCTGAACCTCGTCGTCCGGGGCTTCAGGGAGCTTTTGTTCGGAGTCGTTGGCTCAAGCTTGAAAAGCTTGGGAGTCGTACGAACAGGACCAACAGCAGTACTGCTGCGCGGCGTGGCGCTCGGCTGGCTTGACAGCTACTCTGGCTACTAGTTTTGGGGTTCAAGCTACACAAGCAGACAGAATAGCGTTGGCAGTGTTTTTTGTAGCATCTACCACCTCGTCCTACAGTGACTGGCCAAGCAGCTGAAACTTGAACATGTAACGGATTCCATCACTGCTGATGTTGGCTCCGCCCCGGTGCCACAGGTCGTAGTGCATGAGGACGACCTCAGACAAGTGGCCAGAGTAGTTTATTTTCATGATGAAAGGTGCCGTATAGGCTTTAGGACCTCATCTTTAAGGACTTCGGATTGCAAGTTGACAGTGTTAATTTCAATGACAATGACAAAATGAATTAGATGAACAAGAAGAATAAGCATAACAGCAAGACTTCTTATCTTGATTCTATGATTCTAGGCTGCTGATAAGCCCCCGGGATATAATCCTGCTGATTGCCTCTTGATGGCAAGGAGCCGTGCCCGCAGAGCAGCACAAGGGCCTCCCCTGCACATGCCAACTCGTGGCCGGGATTCCAGTCGCTGCCTTGCCGAGGGCAGAGTTTGGGAGGGTTGGCTTTAGGGTGTAGGGTATCGACGAGACAAGTCAATGTAGACTCCTGGTTAATCACATCCTCTTGAGGGGACTGTGGTTATTAAAATAACTAAGACACGGGATACATATGGTTTCACATCTTTCACCACACGCACTCGACGCGCGCCATGGGGTGGCGAAACTGTTCAAGGTCTGGTCCGACTCCCAGCATCTCAAGTGCAAAGCGTAACTGCCTCAACAGATGTATTTGTTCGCCCGCTGCTTCGGACATCGTGGCTGAAGCTCTGCTCTCTGATGAGTTCGCGGCTCCCTTTGCACATGGGGCAGTGGGTCTACCACCATCACCAGTTCAAGGCAAATCCATATAAAACATCAAACAATCTTCGCGGTGATGCATCGAATTAAGCCCAGTCTCTAGTGAGTGAGCCGGAGTTGTGACAGATTGGAGCCATGAGAACTCCGAACTTTCATGACACTTCATCGAGACAACAGCCTTTCAAACCTGGGAAACGAAGTGAACGTAATCGCAATAAGCGCAATCAGTTCACATTGCCGCCGATGCAGGAGTGTAGGATTTTGACGTAACATTTCATTCTGTCGACATGTACATCAGCTGCCTGTCCAACACCTTCCCGCATGGACACAAAACTGTGCTCAACGGCAGCTTGATCTTTAGACCACGGCCACCTGCGAATTCAGTAAAACATGATTTCAACTGTTTCTTTACAGCTTTACAAGTCGGCAAGTATAATTCACCACCTTCGAAACCCATGCCAAGTGTTTCCGGCAAAAAGGCCTGTTGTGAATTACAAGATCTCATGCCTTCATGCGCTTCAGAAGCCGGCATTCTTCCACGTCTCACCGCGACAGCTCAAAAAGTCTTTTGCTGTCAGTAAAAATTTGCGGTAGCCCTGGAAGACCGGAGCATCACTGGCTGTGCAGCTGCCTCTGTCGCTGCCTTCCGGCATCAATGTGGAGATCAGGCTTGCACGATCTTCCAGCGAAGAACTTTTGCTTTGCTCCCGTCCAGATTTGCAGCTCGCTCGGCCAACACCCTCGCACGGCCCCGGTAGCCTCGCTGAGTTTCCAGGAGGCCCCACGCCACAAGCAGAGTGGCAAGCCACTTGCAAGCCACTTGCACATCACGGCTACTTGCTTGAGTTGCCGTTCGCGAACGCACTCGAAACCGTCCATCAATCCACACGTCGAGCTCCTTTTGCAGTTGTTCTTGAACAAATCGTGTGCCGTCTTGGAAGACGCGCCTTGCAGCATCGAAGTGCCCGTTATTCTTCTCTGTCAAAGCTAAGTTCAACCATGTGCAAGCGGCGGCAGCGAACGAAGGCACCTCCTTTGCTGGTGGCATAGTGCTGTACAGCCCAATGGCCGTTCGGTACACCGCGCTTGCTCCATCCCAGTTTCGCTTTCGTCGGAGCTCCACTGCACGGTAGTGGAGCTTCGCTAGGCGCCTGAAGCTGGAGCTCTGTGACTCGATGTCGGAGCTTACTCCCGTCGCTGCACCTTTCAGAGCCGCAGTGTAGTAGCCAAGCACGGCATCTTGCTTGGGACACGTCACCCAGGTTCTGGACATGGGAACCACCACTCCGAACCCCAAGCAGCATGCAAGTGCTCGGAAAATGCTTCCATGCTTGAAGCAGACCATAGTCTTGCAGAGTGGCTTCGCTGCTGCAACGCCCTCGCTTGCCCCGGAAACTTTTGCGGTTCAAAGGGCGTTGCTGCGTTACTCTGTCATCCTGTTCGGAAGGGCCTACACTGGCCAGGTCACTTTCCGAATTCGAAACGCGCCCTTCAAAAGCCTGACCTGACGATTATGCCAAATGCAGAACCAAAAACGACAGCAAAAGCACCAACATCGACACCACCCATAGTATGTAGCCATCATAGCCGAAGCATGATACACAACTTGATAATTCATGAGCCTCGCGCCAATGTCATCTTGTTCAGTCGCGCCATGTCCTTATGAAGAAAACAGCTATGATATAAGTCATCGTCGTCATCCTATGTCATCGGATGGCGATCGCAAAACGAAACTCACAAGCATCCGCTGCCTCGCGATCACTGAAGCGAGCACACCCATACGGGCCTGAAGGCAGGCCACCGCAACACTAGCTGCTTCTTAAACCAAGCATTGGCACGAAAGTGCCTGCTGGCACGTAAGCTGTTTCAGTGGTACTTCTATTGTGGACTCCATGATCTAATTACGGTTGTCCTTGATGGCGGTAACGGCTGTGATAATGATGATTGCGAAGGTGCTGAGTGAAGGTGAAGAAGATGGAGGGGAGGATGGTGATTGCTGCATAAGTGTATATGCACGCAGCATTGGTTCTGCAAGGTACTGATATAAAAGCATCGAAGCACGTGACTCAAAATAACAGCGGTAGTTTCCATTAGTTGAAAAGCTGTGCTCTTGCTGCTATCATTGTATATATATATATGTATATGTATATGTATATATATATATATATGTGTGTGTGTGTGTATGTGTGTATATATATATGAGCGTGTGTGTGTGTGCGTATGTGTGTATGTATGTATGCATGCATGCATGCATGGAAGGATTTTTGGCTCCCGCCGGCATGGCAGTATACGAAGACTCCGCATGACAGGTTATGCTCCGGCCACGAGCGACACGCTCACTTCAAGAAGCCTAGCTGTTGGGAAAGAGCTAGGATGGATGTATGTATGTATATGCATATATTTACCGTATGAATATGCACAGGTATGTATTCGTACATGTATGTACGTATGTACGTACGTACCTACGTATGTATGTATGCATCTACCCAGACAGATATAGATATACACACACGCACAGAGATACAGACGTACCTACATCCATCCACCCATGCACGCATGCATACATGCCCACGTACCTACTTACAGACAGACAGACAAACAGACAGCCAGCCAGCCAAGCAGGCAGGCAGGCAGACAGGCAGACAGGCAACCAGCCAGGCAGCCAAGCATGCATGCATTCACACATCCCTACATCCCTACATGCACAAAAATCGGCGAAACATGGAGAAAGAGCGCGACACAAAAAGAGAACGCACGGGGATCATAAAGAAAAAACTGGCAGCTGCACCCAGGCGGATGCATTCCGGGTCCAAGGTTTGAGTAATAGGTTGCCGGACGGTGCTTAAGCGAGTCGCGCAAGGATCTTCTCCATTGCTCAAAGGTTTCAAAGCTTCCTTCCGCTTTGGCCGGCTCAAGATTCAGAAGTCAGGGTTTGGTGGCCTCGATCGCTCTTCTCATCCTTGTTGTACCACCTCGGAGAATCTCAGGGAAGTGGAGTGCGAGGAACCGGCACCCTTCAAGACCTACTCCAAAGCACGCAGAACCCCAACAGACAGTGCATCCCACTGCCTTGAGAAAAGAATCTACCTGAAGTTCCTAGCAGCATGGGCATCCGAACATGCAACCCCATGCAGGCCAAGGGCCTGAATGCGTACTCGTACCTGTCCTGCTATAAGGGTTCCTAATTCTATCTGTTCTAGAATACCCACAAGCCACATTCCTTCTACAAAGGCCCCCAGTAGGCCCAAAAATGCATGAAACCCCAAACCCTGGATTCCGGGATCCCAAAGGCTGACAGTTGAAGTGATGGGTTTGCCATGCGGATCTTTTATGGCTGGGTGCAGGGGCGAGTCACAATCTGTTCAACAGTGACACTACACCTCAAGCCCTCAATCCCGGATCCTAGACACAGAGCCTAGACCTACGATGCTACACCTTAGACTCCTGAGCCCCGCGCTGGCTCCGTGGGAGGATCTCGGTCGGCCCCAGCTCCAGGGGCGTGTCCTGCAGGGTAGAGGGTTATGTAGACACCTGAAGGGTTGGGGCTTGTCGGGGTTTGGGGTAGGGTTTGGTCTTTGGGGTGTCTTATACAGGTTTTTATCTAAAGTTGTTTCTAAGGGTGCTACTGTTTTGAGGTAGACCCTCGGCACATAAACGAACGTCCAAGAAAAATGATTAATTCGGGGTCCACAGCATAAGGCGTAAGGCCTTCCAAGAAAGGGGCATCATTGGTCGGGGGTTTAAATTGCATTGCACCCCGCCACTTTGCTGCAAGGGCATCTGGAACTTTAGGGATAAAAAAGTCGTATCCGGATTCGGACTGATTCCAGGGAGCAAGAAGCCCGCCTGAGGAAAGTAGAGCGCCATGATCCAATAAGGGCACGCGTTGCGCGGATGCCAATGCCTAGAAGGGCCGACATTCTGAGTTACTCCTGGACTCGGGTCTCCAACTGCTGTCAAGACTCCAAACCCCAAACCCAGCAAATATGCTTCATGACATGTTCACCAAGAGCCCTGTGCCAGGGACCTAATTACGACTCGACTTGAGGCAACTGCGCGATGGCGTACTCTGCAGTGTAGACATATACTGCAATACACTGCCCGGTACCAGAAAAAACCTTCTACTGTAGCATTCAGCTAGGCGGCCCCCAGAACGAGTCTCGGTGCCACGTTTGCGGCGTCGGTCGCTCACTCGTGTGGCAGTATCTGTGCCTGAAGACTTGACCGAGGAACGGGATGGTAAGTGCCGAAAAATCGTGCAGAGCGAGAGGTTTCGGGACAACCGTCATTCCCCTGCTTGATCTCTTCCCGTCAATCCCTTGACTTCCGGTGGTATGGAAAATCATGCGGGGCAGGAAACCTCACGAACAATGAAACCTGAATACCACGGAACTTTGGAGACATGTTCGCCGGAGAGCGTTATAGTGTGCAGCTGTCCGATGAATCAGGGTGTAGAAAGGACCGCGTTCTACACCACTCCCAAAAGGCACTACTTGCAACACGACGCAGTCTGGTTTCGTCTTTGGGCAGAAGCCAAAAATATCGGTTTCCCACAACCCTCTCTCCAAAGCATAGCCCGAGCCTTGCATCCAAACCGAAGCCAGGCCGAAGATCCCAACTCTCCAGAAACTGCCACCGAACCCTGAAGCCCCCAGACATGCTCAAGACCTTCCTTCAGTCCCGAGCCCTCAACTTCACCTCTAACACCTTGATATTGTGGTCAGAATCTGGTTTGGGATATCGTATGATATACTTGTATCACGAAAATCTAAGGAATTCTATTTACGGTTTACATTCATAACAATATATAACGTACCTTATCCAGGCCCCTGTGCTCAACGAAGGGTCGGGGGCCACCCCGGGCATCTCTGCGGATGAGCATCGGATGCAGAAGATATCCCGGCCCAACAAGGCTCTCCTGGGCTTTCCGTGTAAAAACTGTTAAGGTGTAGGGCTTCTAAAGAACACTAACTACACCCTAAAGTTGTTTTTTTTACTTTTTGCTTTTCTTTTCCTTCTGCCTTATTCAGGGCTTGTAGGGTTCAGGGTTTTTCAGCCCTAAACCCCACGCCATCGTAGTTTTTTTTAGGGTTCAAGACTCTCCTACGCCTCTCCTGCAAGGTTCAGGCTCCAAGGCTTAAGGTCGAAGGTTCCGCTTACTTTTTTGGTTCGTTCGGGTGTGCCCGGCGATTGGGTACTTGGGTTTGGCATAGTGTTGGGGGGAGAAAAGGATTCCTGGGGCCTATAGGGTTAGGGCTCAAATGGTTGAGGCTTGGGTTGGGTACATAGGACCAGGCGGCTGGCCAAAAAACGGCAAACGGGACAGTGGGGCGGCTTGGCTGGGGCTTTGCGAAGATCCGGCGCCGAAAACACACTCCCTCAGCCGTACTTGTGCGAAGAAACCTTTAAGGCCATATGCCCTGAGAGTTATAAGTGGGTGGCCTCGGGGTGGGTAAGCCTGCAGGCCGACGCGCGCCTACAACAGAGCTCTTTCGTTTGGCACACCCTAAAGCCCTAAAGCCCTAAACCCTAAACCAACAGGGAAGTGTCGGGCTCTCAAGCACAGCCCGAAGGTCTTGCGAGGGGCTGCGGGCCTTCAGCGTCCAAAAACCTGGTGTAACGAGGCTTGGCTCTGGGATGGAGTTGACCCTCGCATTTGGGATGGTTTGGGCTATTAGGTTGGATAGGTGTAGGATACCAGGAGCTCTCTTCGGTGTAAGTCGTGATGCCATCCGAGACACGATGGCGCCACGAACTCGCGGTGACTCGTAAATGTCTAGCAGGTCTGGGATGGCTGGGAAGACGTTGTTTCCGAGCCTGAGTTCGCAGGGCTCAAGGTGTCGGGCTTTAGGATTTTGCGTTTTTGGGTTGGTGCTGCTGTTTTGCTATGGGTGGCTGGAGTTCAGGGCTTTGGGTGGAGTTGAGGGTTTTGGGGTCCCCAGAGTTTTGAGCATTTAGGAATTTCGGGAATCTGCTTCCAGGGAGATTTTGGACAGCGACCTTTTGAGATACAAAACCAATGGGTTCTTATCAAGTCCCTACATTTGGCGAGAACGTCCGAAGGCAAAACGACCTCAAGAGCCCAACTGACCTCTCACAGGTGCGTGTTCTTGCATATTGGATGCTACCTGCCTTGTCATCCGCCACCTGCTTCCCTTTGCATGGTTATACACAGGAGCTCACGCTAACCGGGAAGCTCTTCAGCGCGGCGGCCGAAAGCAACCGCCTGCTTGTAGATGGAGTCGTGTATCTCGGCTTGGCCTGGTAGACACCCTAAGCCGGTAATAAAGGGGAGGCGCGGCCCAAGACCAATGCAATGCTTGGGGGGCCTGGCTCGAACTTCATACACATCCTACAGCAGGCTACGGCGTACGGGGCTGCAATTTCTCGGAGGCCCGAGACACAGGCCCCGAAAAACCAAGTCTCTGTACTCCACCAGAAACGCGAACGGAAGCAAGCAATCCAGGCCTTTGTCTGGAGCAAGCTCCAGGAATCCCTCAACGATGAACTGCCTCAGATGTGCAAACGCACACTTGGGAACCCTAAAGAAGGCCGTCTCTCACGCAGTCTCGAAGCGTCAGCTGCGTTCGGGAGTGTCGGTAAAACCCTAATTCAAAGAGCAAGAGGCAGTGGATAAGCATGAGGACAACAGGAAGCGCGCGCACTGGAAGGGCACAACTCATCGGCAACACTTTTTAAGCCAGTTCAAGCAAAGAGAGAACATTCGGATCTCCTGCCCCCCCGAAACCAGTTGGAAGTGCCCCAGGAGAGTTTCGAGAAAGAAAGCTTCGCGATTGGTGATTTGTGCGCTGAGTTGTGGCTTGCAAGCTCTATGTGCGACTCAGCAGGGCTTTGGCATTGCTCAGGTTCTGGAGTGGTAAGTAGCTAGTACAAGTAAGAGGAATGTGGCATCGGGGCACACTGGAATCAGTGGCGACCCCACGGCTTACGACAAATCCTCCTCTGGAGCGGCACAACACGTCATCTCCAACTACATGGCTACTCGCCTTTTCCTGCGGCTACGCCGACACCATTCAGCCAGGGTGCTGCACCTGCTTGTCAGACCTCAGGCGCTGCACGATGGTAGTCACATCCGCTCGTGCTTACGACGACGACAACCGCAACCTACTGCTTCCATTTTCGGAATTTCGAGTACGTAGATAAAGTGCCGGAACTTCTATCAGCATCGAAGACATGTGCTACTCTTACTACAATAAGGTGACAGCGCCGGGTGTGCGTCCTGTACGTCCTCTCACATATCTGGGGTGGGGGGGGTGGGGGGGTGGGATGATGACGACATTGGTACACAAACACCCCGAACATTCTCTCCACAAGAGCCGTTTTACCCGGTATTTACAGTACTTTCGTGATGGCGAGGGGGGGGGTGGGGTGGGGGGGGATG